AGAGAGAGAGAGAGAGAGAGACATTTTGATTGAAAAACGATCTTGTTACACGGCCTGTTTCGCGGTGGGACGAACAGCGCTGCTCGCTGTTAACGTGGCAAAAGTCCGCCTGCACTTTTGTCGAATGTTCCAGCATGTTAAACGAGACGAAATTTTCGAAAAATTAAAAGCTTGCTTTTAAGTAACATTACACGCAGGTAAAATATCCTTTTATTGTTAATATAATATGTTAACCCTTGAACTATCTATAGATTTTCGAAAACGCAAAATTTCCAGAGATTTTCAGAGATATCAAAATAAAAATAAAAAAATCATTTAAATCTCTAAAAATACGCTGTTTTACATCTGTAAAATATCCAACGAAAATTATCTTACTAATTCAGAATCCTACTAATTTTGGTAGTTCTAGTGTCAATTACAAATGACAGGATTTAACGAACTTTTTACCACGTACGCAGTCAAGAACATCGCAAAAAGACTCGTTTCGTTATCCAGAGATAATTGTTTCTACCAGATTTGTTCTCTTTCGATCTTCATGTACCTTCGTAACTGCTGTCGCAGACATCGGGGGAAGGAAGGAAGGAAGGAAGAAAGAAGTACATTCGATACCATCGGGTTTCGTTCGTCGTCTTGGCAGAAACTACCCTCGGGTAAAAAAAATAATTGCCCCTTGATACGCGCCGATACCCCGCCAGCCAGGAGATACCAGTTTTGTAATGACGTTCGCGTTCGCAAACTTAGTTCGAAATTAAATATCGAGGCGGAGGAGAGGGTGGCGGCAAGGGGGATGCTAAAGAGAAATCCCGACGGTGAGGGGTTGCGGTGGGTTGGGATGGGCGAGGCAGGGAAGGGAGGTTTGTCGTGCACCTGCCCTTTTCCCGTAACCGTCGTGATAAAAATCAAACTGGAAAACAAACGAGAAGCAGGATCGTATTATAAAGTTTATTAATCGATTGGCGATGCGCGAAGAGGGTGGAAACCGGAATCCGTGAGGCCGCCGGAAATATCTCGTTACGGTTGAAAATTAAAATTCTAATACCGACGATGCCGAGAGATACGAACGATCGAACTTTTATCTAATTCTACTTAAAGTTTATTAACCTCGGAAATTTTCTTTTTCTTTTTTTTTTTTCTCGATAGCGGGTAGAAATGAATCGTCAAGTGGACGAGAGTGAGTCGACAATTACTCGAGGACGTTTTCAGTAAAGTGAAGATTAAAATGATGGAATTTATATATTGTTTTTTCTTTTTCTTTTCGACCAATTGTCCAATTACGTGTGTTGTATGGTTGATTGTTCTTTACATATGGATCAAACAACTTTGAAAGTCTCATCTTTTTATCAAAAAGTTGCATGCACTATCTCTGCGTTCTTTAAATTATATAATTCTTTCTTTATTGAAACGATTAACATTCCAATGTTAATAACACAGTGAATCGTCAATCATAAATTCAATATTCTCTATAGCAAAGGATTTTTTTAAATATTTTGAACATTGCACGTTATATTTTCAGTTTCACATTATATACTCGAAATATTTATAACGTATTTCGTTTTACAATTATCCGTACCATACGTTTTTTTTTATTCAGTGTAGATGGATTGCATATTGTATATCATCCACCGTATTTTCTACAATACATACTTTCAATTTAATTCACAAAAACGTAACTTGTCGTCTTTGTACTGATTTCAGAAACTGAGGCCCACCGATATACCGATCTTCGAGATAAAGAACCTGTTAATTAACGAGACTGGCACGCAGCTGGCCTTATGGGGTAATCTGGGTCTGGTTCTCATGGAGCTTCCCAAACGTTGGGGCAAGGACGGGATGTTTCAAGGTGGGAAAGAAGAGATACTCTGCATGTAAGTAACAAAAATGATCAATGAACTTTCGGTGCACCGAGGTTCTGTCAAAATGGAGATCGGTTTCTCTTCTCGATGATCAGTCGTGGAAAAGTCAAATCAATCTCATCG